TCCGATTACGGTAGAGTCTCTGTGACATTTCGACCCCATGTTTGTTTTTAACCCCCCAGGAGTGGCATCTAAAGGATACATTATATAAAAATTAATTTAATTATTACGGTCTCAAGTGTCATTTCGTCGCCATATTTAGCCAACTTACCTATGATAACGTATCTAATTACTACAGTCTTAGTATCATTTCCTCCACATTTTTTCCCTACATTATCCTTCAATATACATAATTACTACAGTCTCGGTACCTCATCGTGATTTTTTTCCCTAGAATCACCAGAGCATCACAGGTTAATAAGGTTGTCAAAGCCGCCCTCGCCGTCATAGGGGGAAACTGTCGGGTAAAAATTCCCATCAAAAATTGAGTCAGGACGTGGTCACCTCCAGGATGAGGGGGAAAACATGTTTCCCCTCTGGTAAGGCCTGAGGCTCTGAGGGGAGATTAATAGTTTGACCACCACAGTGTATGGAATCTGAGGAGAGTGGGGAGGAGAATGGAGGTGAGGAGGGAGGGAGTGAGGGAAAATGGGAGAAGGTGGGGAATGTGGGTGAGGGGAGACACAGCAGGGAGCGAGGGAGGAATGAAGGAAGGAAGGAAGGAAGGAAGGAAGGAAGGAAGGAAAGGAGAAGTGGTGGGGAATATGGGTGAGGGGAGAGAGAGGGAGAGGTCGACAAAGAGAAAGATGGATGGGTTATATGTGTGTGTGTGTGTGTGTGTGTGTGTATATATAAGTGTAAAGGGGAGAGAGAAAGGAGATCGGTTTTTTGGATGAGGGGAGAGACAGGGAGATTGAGGGGGCGAAAGAGGGGCGTGTGGTATAGGTTTCAAAAGAGAGAGAGAGAGAGAGAGAGAGAGAGAGAGAGAGAGAGAGAGAGAGAGAGAGAGAGAGAGAGAGAGAGAGAGAGAGAGAGAGAGAGAGAGAGGGGAGTTGTGTGAGGCTCATTGCATTGACAATATAGCCGTAAGGGAAGTGGGGTTACCCTCTGAAGCGTCCTCCTCCTCCTCCTCCTCCAAGAGTCCTTCAAGTTAAGTCCTATCCAAGCTTCTCGAATTGTTATCTTCTCCAGACGTCAACCTCCAGTTTCGTCTTCTAAGTCTCCTCCTCCACGTGTCCTCTTTCAAATCTCCTCTTTCACGTGTCCTACTTCAAATCTCCTCCTCCACGCGTCCTCCTAGTAAATTTGGAGACATTGGCGATATCCCCTCCAAACTTGGTCCAAGACGTCAATAAGCGGAGGGAAGCACCGTGGAGTATCTCGCCTCCTTCTCCCACCGACTAACCCCTTTCCTCCTTAACCCCTTTCCTCTCTAACTCCCTTACCCATTCCATCCCCCTATCACCCCCCTTCCCTCCCTTATCACCTTCTCCTTCCCTAACCCTAACCCCCTCCATCTCTCCCTCCCAACACCCTTTATCCCCTACCCCCCCTCCCCCTCCCTCTCAGCCCCCCCTATGACTCCTTCCAAATCTCATAAGTTTGTATCTGATTTTTTTTCTTCTCCTTACGACGACAAATCGAATGACAATTAAAATGGAGTCGAACTGAGCCTGAGACTATCGTGATTAAAGAAATAACTCACTCAAGCTATTACACAAAGTTATTATATGTACAAAATTACACAAAGACTCTACTGTAATTACAAGGGCTATTTTATGTTTGGGGTTTTTTTCCCCTTTGATGACAGTAACAACACAATGACCAAAATTCTTTCTCGTTTTTTATTTTCGTTTTTTATTTTTAGTTTTTGTGTGAGAGAGATATTGAATACTCTTTCTCTCCTTTCACTGATTCACTTCATCTTTTTATCACTCTAACCAAACCCAACCCAATCTAACCTGACCCAAGCCAATTTAGCCTAACTTAACCCAACTTAAACTAACCTCACCTAACCCAACCTAGACCTAGCTTCATTTAACTTTGACTTAACCGTGCTTAAATTGATTTAAACTCGCTTAATCTGATCTAATCTAACTTAAACTAACCCAACTTAGCCTAACTTAAACTAACCTTACCTAACCCATCCTAGCGTCTAGCTTAATTTAACCAAACTTAATTCAACTAAAACTAATCCAACTTAGCCTAACTTAAACTGGCCTCACCTACCCTAACCTAGCATAGCTTAACCTAACTTTATCTGACCTAACCAAACAAAATCTAACCTAATTAACTTAAACCAACCTAACCTAACCTAACCTCACATTTAACTTCTCTTTGCTCAGAACTCTCGAGTCATGATGCGACCAGTTCTCATTTGAGTGTTTTATGGTGTCGCTCAAGACCACTTGTTTTGTAAAGCCAACATCTGCTGCCGTCGGGATGAGAATACGATGCCGCCTTTAGTTCTTGTTGTGAATTAGAGTTCTGTGGTGGGCGGGGATTTATCTGTAAATATGAGTGATCTTGGTTTGAGTTATAACATATGTATTTTGAGTTGTGATTATGATGTTTTTTAGTTTTCTTTCAGTTGTGTTATTTTTTTATCGTTGTAAGTGTGAGTATGTTTAAAAAATATATATAATTAACTAAAAATACGATTTTTTTATGTTGGAAAAAACCCCGAGTATTTTTCAGCTCAATATGGAATATCTTTATCCTGTTGACTAGTTTTTTTTTATTATTATTATTGTAGTTATGAATACGATTTTTTCCCTGGGGGGTGGGGGTGGGTGGGGGTGGATGGATGGGGGTAGGTGGGGGTAGGTGGGGGTAGGTGGGGGATGGAGGTTAAGCTGTAATTATGAATATTTCTCAATCGTAAATATAAGTATTTCTCTTTGGATACAGTAAGTTATAAATATAGTCAGGTCAGGACAGCGTAGATGGGGAGGAACCAATGACATGCCCTAAGGATTAAGATATTATGGACAGTATAAATCTAAACAAATGATTATAATTCAACTAACAACAATAACACTCAGACGAGGACCAGGAACAACTCAAGCACTAACCAACACTCAGACGAGGACCAGGAACAACTCAAGCACTAACCAACACTCAGACGAGGATCAGTACCAGCTCAAGCACTAACCAACACTCAGACTCCCGAATACTCTTTTGTTTTTATCATTCGCTGATCGCCTGTCCATTGCCAAAATTTATGACTATTATATAAATATTCACATATGTTCCCGTTTACCTGCGTTCAGTTAACTACGTAGCTGAAATGTCTAAGGTGCGCAAAGTGATGGTCGTCAGCTTGTTAACATAGTGCCGTGAATGCCTATGAATTATTACCACACTGAGGATGGTTGCTGGGTTATTACAAGGCTATATACTACATATTAGCTGTGTTTGTTTGTCTCCGGTTTACTTCACCTCGAAACTTTTATCAGCAGACATAAGAAACTGCACTGAGAACATCTGAGGTCTGACGAGTGACTGTGGCGAGTTTTTTCATAAGGTTCCTGATTAACCCAGCTGTTGTGGTTATGTTGAAGGGAAGAGAGAGCCCAGGGGAACCAACGTCAGGTTAATTTGTCACTACCATATTACAACTATTAATATCACCACTACTACTACTACCACAAAATCACCACTACTACTACCACACAATCACCGCCATAACCACCACACAATCACCACCAAGACATTACTACCACTACATCCACTACTGCCGTCATAACCACCATACCACAACCAAGTGACACATCACACACACCACACCACACCACACCACACCACACCACAGCACACCACACCACACCACACCACAGCACACCACACCACACCACAGCACACCACACCACATACAATCTGGGTCTGTCAAAAAGAACCCTTAGGACTGTGGTCAGGAAAGAACTTGTTGGTGAATTTGACGCTAGCAGACAAGAGCAAACAGGAAATAGTTTACCATGATGAGATGTATCAAGTGAAAACCTGTATATGGAGCAAGTAACGCGATCACTAGATTACAAGATGTTATAACCGCTAGACGAAGGTCAGGCTATAAGTACCTCTGACAGTATATCATTCAAGCAGAAAAGAACAAAATTAAATGTACAGGTAGAGTGTGTGGCCAGACATATGGCCACACACTCGAACACAACGTCCTTAACTGTGTGAAGATAGAACCTTTTAGGGACAGGTCCAAGCACACTGTGTATGAAATGGCACTTCATCTCTAATGACAAGATAGCCGCCATATTAAGACTATGCATTTTTTTTTCACTTAGCAACAAAACCAATTCCTATAGAATTAAACACACAATGTGCATGAATACATCTCACGCAGACGTGAATAACAAAGTGTGCAGCCAGGCGTAACCTCACACTGCTGTACTCGCACAGTTGTGAATAAGTCGCCCTCTATGTACAGAACTAAACAAACAATGTATTTGAAATACTCTGTAACATCCAATGTAATAATATCCTGACCACTTAGGGTCTGATATACAAAACACACTCTTTGTGACCTCTATTCTGTCATCCTTTTGAGCTATCGCTCACAGGATGAGTATGACAATTCCACACCACACCACACCATACCACACCACACCACAGCAGCAGTGCGTGGTAGAGGGCCACTGTCCTACACCCTGTGTCCCATCGCTCACTCCCTTACCCGTGGCCGTGAATATTACTACTCCCCGTGACGGTGTAACACAGGCGATAATGGTGGTAAAACTGGTGATCGTAAAATAATGATGAGTCATGGTGATGGTGGGATGAAGGGTGATGTAACAGTATTGATAGGAATGTAACAGTGAGTCATGGTGATGGTGGGAAGAATGGTGTTATTGCTTCTTCTAATACCGCTCAGCCGTGAGTGACGTAAGCTGTATTAATATTTGTGTTAGTGATGAAGGAAAACATTAAAAGGTTATTTTGTGCCTAGAGACGTAATTCTTTCTCTTTATCTCTATTATCATTTTCTCTCATTTCTCAACAATCAATCTCTCTCTCTCTCTCTCCAACAAAAAACAACTACCACATATTCGTCCCATCATTCATTGTTAAACCCCAAGTCGTATATTCATCATGGCTTCCATTTCAGAAACCAACTATAACTCAGATTCTGATTTCGGTTCTAAATGGAAAAATCGAGTTGACGTGATAAAGCTAAACGGACTCTAACCAGCAACATTGTACTCAATTACAACAGAAACAGAGCCTAAGGGAATGAAATTGACAGCCACAGCTAAAACGCACCACAAGGAAAACACGATCTTCGTCAAAGCTAAAATAAAGATTAAATTGGAGAGCGGAAATATAGATAGAGACTAAACGAGAAATATAAGTGCAAGAATAGTTAAAAACAAAAGACTAACGAGAAATATAAGTGCAAGAAAATCTAAAAACAAAACACTAACGAGAAATATAAGTGCAAGAAAAGCTAAAAACAAAACTAATAAGAAATATAAGTGCAAAAAATCTGAAAACAAAGCACTAACGGAAAATATAAGTGCAATAAAATCTAAAGACAAAAGACTATCGAGAAATATAAGTGCAATAAAATCTAAAACAAAACACTAACGAGAAATATAAGTACAAGAAGATCTAAAAACAAAACAATAACAAGAAATATAAGTGTAAGAGGATCTAAAAACAAAAGACTTGCGAGAAATACGAGAAATATAAGTGCAATAAAAGCTAAAACAAAACACTAACGAGAAATTATAAGTGCAGCTCAAGCTATAAAATAACAAGGAATAAACGTACAGGTAAACATAAACAAAAGCAAATAAATACCAGTTAATTTTGGCAAACAGTAAAAAAAAAAATCGAGAGCAATAAAGTGCAAAGCCACATTGAGGAACTTCAATTCAAACCATTTCAAGATATATCAAATTAGGCCAGTTCAAGATATTTTAAGTTAGGACAGTTCAAGATATCTCAAGTTAGGCTAGTTCAAGATATCTCAAGTTAGGCTAGTTCAAGATATCTCAAGATAGGCAAGATCAAGGTATTGTAAGTCAAGGTAGAATAATCCCCTTAACTAAGCCAATTAACTAGCATCTCTAGGCAGGTAAAAGCAAGCCCCGAAACTGGTGTGGTAAGCCAACCTAGAGACAGGTGTGGTAAGCCAGCCTGAATTCAAGTGTGGTAACCCAAGTCAGACACATGAGCCAGAAACAGGTGTGGTAAACAAATACAGACACAGGTGTGATAAGCCAGGCCAGTTACAGGTGTGGTAAGCCAGGAAGACGTAGCCTACAGTTAGTGAAGAACTGGTAAGGACACTACCTTCGTCATGGACCCCGCCAGGATACTTCAGATCATCACCAACAGCACGTGGATGGGTGAGTACCTGGTCGTGGTGCTCTCTCTCTCTCTCTCTCTCTCTCTCTCAACTGATCCAGCGACACCACCTTCTCTCACTCTGCTCTCTTCTCCCCCCTTGTTTGGTCACTATATATTCAGCTGTGTTCTCTCTCTCTCTCTCTCTCTCTCTCTCTCTCTCTCTCTCTCTCTCTCTCCTTTGTCAACTCATATTCTCTCTCTGTGTACTCATTTAGTTTCTTTTATTCTCCTCTTTGTACTCTGGTTTTTCTCTTTACACACATTCGCTGTTTTCCTTCGTATTCTCTCTTTCTGTTTCTCTATCAATATATATTTACCTATGTACTCATTTATCTATCTATCGAGCCACCTCTCTATACATACATACATACATACATACATACATACATACATACATACATCTATCTATCTATCTATCTATCTATCTATCTATCTATTTATCTATCTATCTATCAAACAAATTACTATTTTTGTATGTAAATTGCTCTTGAGTCTCACTAATTTGGGGACGTTACTCGCAGCTTCAGATTCAAATTAGGTTTTTATGTATCATGGTGAAGCAGAGGCGACGCTATCCAGAAATATAAGTATACGTTCACATGTAAGTATAAACTACACGTACAGAAATCGCCTGTATATCTAAATCTTTCTAGAACAAATTATAACAATGATAATAATAAAGATGATAATAATAATAATAATAATAATAATAATAATAATAATAATAATAATAATAATAATAATAATAATAATAATAAAAATAATGATAATAATAATAACAATTAATAATAATAATAATAATAATAATAATAATAATAATAATAATAATAATAATAATAATAATAATAATAATAATAATAATAATAATAATAATAATAAATTAGCCTCTGTCATTATAATAAACAAAAGATATATACAAAGTGTAATATACCAACACGTGTCCCACAGAATACTTATGTGTGGCCCTGTAGTCCTAACTGTACCCTCTGGGGAACTAACTGTGGCCCCCAGGGTACTAATTGTTACCTGTGGGGTACTAACTTTGGCCCCCCAGGGTACTAATTGTTACCTGTGGGGTACTAACTGTGGCCCCCAGGGTACTAATTGTCAGCTGTGGGGTACTAACTGTGGCCCCTGGGTTACTAAATTTTACCTGTGGGGTACTAACTGTGGCCCCTGGGGTACTAAATGTTACCTGTGGGGTACTAACTGTGGCCCCTGGGATACTAATTGTTACCTGTGGGTACTAACTGTGGCCCCTGGGTTACTAAACCTGTGGGGTACTAAACTAATGTTACCTGTGGGGTACTAACTGTGGCCCCTGGGATACTAATTGTTACCTGTGGGGTACTAACTGTGGCCCCTGGGGTACTAAATGTTACCTGTGGGGTACTAACTGTGGCCCTGGGATACTAAACCTGTGGCCCCTGGGGTACTAAATGTTACCTATGGCCCCTGGGGTTACTAACTGTGGCCCCTGGGGTACTAATTGTTACCTGTGGGGTACTAACTGTGGCCCCTGGGATACTAATTGTTACCTGTGGGGTACTAACTGTGGCCCCTGGGTTACTAACTGTGAATGTAATTAATTCCTGCAGTGATTTATTTGTTGGGTGGCTGAGTGAGGGTAACGTCTCACCTTTATAATTATTAATACAGCATGGTGTTGCCGCCGTTAAGGAAACACTATTTATGGCCTCATGTGCCGGTTTATCATGGCAGGTTGTGGCCTTATAAACCACGCCACTAACTCCCGCCCACAATATTGTGCCCCATTAAGTTCATGGCACACTTATTTCTTATACTACATTATCATACTTCGGCATTTATGTACACACACACACACACACACACACACATTTACGTACAACATACATTAAGTACTAAGTTTCTGAGAATGTTGACAAGTGTATTATTTGCTCAGTAAACACAACAGAAACCTCAGTGTTCAATAATGGCTGGGACGAGGCGTTTAAGGCATCAGACCAGTGACGAGTTGTTGACACTGATCACACATAAAAATTTTCCACAACTCGACAATTTAACAAGAGCTGCCGTTGTCTTTGGTCTCACTAACCTAACCTAACTTAACCTAACCTAACCTAACTTAACCTAACCTAACCTAACCTAACCTAACCTAACCTAACCTAACCTAACTTAACTTAACCTACCAAAAGCAGCCGTTTGTCTTTGGTCTCACGGAACAACACTACGAAGGGGAAAGGTATCATCAATATACAACAGGAAAGTGTGAGTGAGTATGTAGGTGTTGACAGATACACTACTGTGCCATGGACTGTGCCAGCCATGGGTGGGTCTGATGATAAATGTCCTGAGTCATTGTGTTATTTAGCCAGAATCATTGTGATGCAGATGAGGTGATGACAGTGGTGGTGGTGGTGGTGAAGGTTACAAAAGGTGAGGTGATGGCAGTGGTGGTGGTGAAAGTTACAAGAGGTGAGGTGATGACAGTGGTGGTGGTGGTGAAGGTTACAAGAGGTGAGGTGATGGCAGTGGTGGTGGTGAAGGTTACAAGAGGTGAGGTGATGACAGTGGTGGTGGTGAAAGTTACAAGAGGTGAGGTGATGACAGTGGTGGTGGTGAAGGTTACAAGAGGTGAGGTGATGACAGTGGTGGTGGTGAAGGTTACAAGAGGTGAGGTGATGACAGTGGTGGTGGTGAAGGTTACAAGAGGTGAGGTGATGACAGTGGTGGTGGTGAAAGTTACAAGAGGTGAGGTAATGACAGTGGTGGTGGTGGTGGTGGTGGTTGGTGGTGGTGAAGTGGTGGTGGTGTGGTGGCGGCGGTGGTGGTGGTGAAGGTTGGAGAGGAGGTGACAGTGGTGGTGTGGTGGTGGTGGTGGTGGTGGTGAGGTGGTGGTGGTGGTGGTGGTGGTGGTGGTGATGATGACAGTGGTGGTGGTGGTGGTGGAAGCTATAACTCTCATTTATGATGGTAATAAAACTTCCTTACACAGAACATTATGATTGTTTTGGTGTGCACGATGATGACTGTGTGGGGAATATCTGCCCCATTCTGGTTATGTGTAGCTGAGGTCATGATCAGGTTGTTTGCCCTTAAGGGAGACATTACAGTGTTGGTTAAGGATAATAAGTGACAGTGAACAGCACAGAGTGAGGTGACATTCTTATCACCTGAGTGTCTGGTGGAAATTCTTCACACCTGAGTGTTAGAATTAGCCTTTAACACATATTAAAACCCACTAAAATAATTAATACCAAGACTACAGGTAAATATCAGACATTATCAGATCTCAATGTTTATAAAAAGATCTTCCTCACACCAACAGTCATAACACAGGTGACCCACACACGAGTGAATCCCTCAGCGCCAGGCTCAAAATGGCTCTACCTGATAAATGAGTTAACGGGGGAAGCAAACATCCACCACACCTCTCTCTCACTAATTGGAATAAACTATCTCATGTGCTGTTTCATCACACATTCACTTAGTAAATTATCTTTGGGTGTTATTGGAGAGCTAATGGTTATTATCACTATCTTTACGTGTTATCTATAAGTTCCGGCATATATTTATTTCTCTTTATCTGTAATTATTTTCAGGTCGCCGTCAAAATAATAACTTGAAGTAACTAATAAATAATTGTATAATAGGAAGTGTGTTATGCTTCAGACCTGCAGCCGTGAACAGCCAGAGACCCTTGACCGTTCATGTCCAGACGGAAAGGACAGTTCTGTTATTTTATAGTGGACGGTGGTATATAGTTGACAGCATCATTTAGTGGACGAAAATGATCAGACAGACAATATAAAAAGAGACAGAAAAACACACACACACACACACACACACACACACACACACACACACACACACACACACACACACACACACACACACACACACAGACACACACAGACAAAGACCAAACCATCAAAAATCATTCTCAAGTAAACATCTACCTTCACGACCCATAAGCTATACGCCCTTAATACTCAACGTTCAATTACTCTACATCGAAAATAATTCCACCAACTTTGAACGGAGGCTTCGATTATGCAAATGAGATCATAATTAGTACCTGGGGGCCCTTGGTAATGTTTTTTGTTTTTTTTCATCTCTGTGTTTGAATTTTTTCTTAATGTTGAATCTTTTATTTTTAACATCGATATAAGAACTTTACTTCACATTTAGAAAGAAAATTATGGTATTAAAATCACGGTATAATATGTAATGTGAAAATGGATAATGAGATTTGTATTTAACTTAATATCTTTATACCAGAGAGAGAGAGAGAGAGAGAGAGAGAGAGAGAGAGAGTTACCCAAGGGACTGTACCGTAATCTCCTATTCAGTCAATGATTCAGTTTATCTGGACCGTAAGGGAACACAGCACTTACCCTTACCGTCTCCCTACTTAAGGTTCTTCCGTTCCTCTGGTCATCTTACCTGTACACCATTAGGAGGCGCCCACCTGTAGTTCCGCGTGTTACACTGAACGCTATATGGCCGAGGTATAAAATTGTGAAAAATTGTCGGAACACCTGTGGATTATCCCAAAGTTTATTTTACCTTAAAGATGAAACACCCTAATGGTAACCTAACCTAACATAACCCTAACCTAACCTAACGTAACCCTAACCTAACCTAATTTAAACTAAATTATTTAACCCCACAAGTAGCATTAGGGTATTTAATTTGAAGGTGAAATAAGCTGGGGGTCAATTTTCAGGTGACCTAAAATATTTCTCTTCGGGCGTATAATTAGGGATGACGTCATTTGTATCTTGATATAAGCTGAACTGGATGATGAAATAATAATAATAATAATAATAATAATAATAATAATAATAATAATAATAATAATAATAATAATAATAATAATAATAATAATAATAATAATAATAATAATAATAGTAATAATAATAATAATAATAATAATAATAATAATAATAATAATAATAATAATAATAATAATAGAAACAACAACAACAACAACAACAATAATAATAATAATAGT